TGGACAGTCCACATTCTCCACCAATACCTTATCAATGTAATGAGGCCTCCAACACAATGAAGGTGGACCATATGTGGATAATTGGTGGGAGGACATGGACAGGTATGGCCCAGATAGGCTATGATCTGCATCACTGGAGAAAACATCAAGACAGATGAGATCATAGATCTGTTTGAGTATTTGAGAGAAATCTAGTTAAAAGTTTCCTTCTGATTTTATTAAGTCTCCCCAGTGAGGCAGGACTGGGACTGAGCTTTCATCTCAGTCTTATTATAAGATCACACCATTTTCCTCTGAGCACCAGTTTTACATTTCACCAAGACCAGCTGCAAGGTGGTTATTAGGCTAAGTGCGCAGAGACAAATGAGGAAGGGGCCAGTCACTAAGTAGCTACTATCTGGGATAATTGGATAAGTGACCTTATTTATAGCCTCTTAAGCTTTTTCTGGGAGAGTAGACAGCAAGATAGCTCAGTGGATAGAGCACTGGACCTGGAGTCAGAAAGACTTGAGTTTAAATCTAGTCTCAGACACTTCCTAGCTGTGTGACCTTGGGCAAGTCACTTAATCTCTGTTTGCCTAGGAGGCAGCTAGGTGGCTCAGTAGATAGAGCACTGGGCCTGGGATTAGGAAAACCTGAATTCAAATCTGACCTCAGAAAATTACTAGCTCTGTGGCCTGGGCAAGTCACTTAACCTCTGTTTGCCTTATTCCACTGGAGAAAGAAATGTCAAACCACTCCAGTAGATACTGGGTACTTGGTAAAGATTTACCAAGAAAACCCCATGGACCGTATAGTCCACAGAATCACAAAGAGTCAGACACAACTGAATGACTAAATAACCACAACACTTGAATCTTAAAATCAGACAATGTTAGAGATGAAAGGGATATTAGATACTATTCAGTTCCACCCTTGTGCATTATAAATGAGGAAACTGAAGCACAGAGGTAGGAAGTTTCCTTATGCTTTGTATACACGAATATATTTATATCTTGTCTCCCCTAATCAACATAAGCTACTTGAGAGCAGGGCTTCTTTTTTTTCTGCCTTTGTATACCCAAGATCTAGATAAGTGCCTGGCACATAATAAACAGTTACAAATACTCCTCGATTGTGTAAGAGGGATATGTCCACATGGATTGTCTAAATATATAGGTGCAGCTTGAGGATGGTATGGATATATATGATCTGAGGCCTGGCCTGCCTCTAGGAAAAAGAGGGTGGTCTAAGGGCTGTGACTAGCCCAGCAGGCTGGTGAGGAAGAGGAGCAGGCAGGCTTCAGTACAGATACTAAGGCTGGGTGTGCTTTTCTTTAGTTTCCAAGATGGGGTATCAGGAGAAAATTATATCTATCTGCTCCCGTCAAATGTCTCTGGTCTAAGGGTATGGGACTGGTTTCACAAGGAAAAACACTTCCTAGTCACTCTTAAGGGAGAGGGCTAGCTTTAGCTTATACCCACTAGCTCATCTGCTTCATGATTACACAAAAGACCACAACAAAGAGCAAATGACAAGAAAAATTATTTATCCAAGCAAAACAGTGAAAAGAAATGGCAGAAGACCTACAGAGCAGAATATAACAAAACACAAGAATAAATGAGCTGTCAGAAAGAGAGATGGGGTGGGAGGGTGGGGTATGGGGAGACAGAGAGAAGGGGAGGAAAGGAGACAGAGTGAGAGAGGGAGGGAGAGAGAGGAAGAGAGAGAGAAGGAGGAGAAAAGGGGATTGGGAGGGGAAAAGAGGAGAGAGGGAAGAGAGGACATGAAGAAAGTGAGAGAGGGAAGGAGGGAGAGGGAAGGAGGGAAAGGGGGAGAGGCAGAGAGAGAGAGAGAGAGAGAAGAGAGAGAGAGAGAGAGAGAGAGAGAGAGAGAGAAGCGATCTTACTCAGAGAAGTTTCTCTAATTGTAAGTGATAGAAGTCCAATATTTTGAGGTGGTTGGATTTCCCTACATGTCTACAGCTCTGGAAGACATTCAGCACTTGCTCTTTCAACTATTTCTCTCCTCCTTTAGAGTATCTTTGGTGCATTTTATTAAGTTTTAATCACTGAATGGGTACTGCCTCAGTTAAATTTTGTACACATTACCATAAAGCAAGAAGATAACATAGTACTTTCCAGCTATCTCTGTACTTAATTATTCAGCCAGTCAACTAGTATTTATAAAGCACCTACTATGTGGCACAGACGCTGTACTAAGAGTGGAAAAATAGCATTTATATAGTATTTAAGGTTTACAAAGCACCTTACAAATGTTCTCATTTTAACTTCACAACAACTCTAGGAGGTAAGTTATATTATTATACTTATTTTACAGCTGAGGAAACTGAAGCTGACTGTGGTTAAAGTGACTCACCCAGGATCACTCAACAAGTAAATGTCAAAGACCACATTTGAATGCAGGTCTTCCTGATTCCAGACCCATTGTTTCATCCACTGCAGCACTTAATCTGCCTATACTTAAGGTCCCTCATCTCTAACTACAATCTTCAAAGATCTGAAATCTCTGTGTATGAAAAATAAACAGGGATGCATCCAACTTCACAGTCTCTAGTTTATATTTTCCGAAAGAAGATATCAGAGTTGCTTTTGATTTTCTTAAAAAGGAAAAATTTCCCTGAGTTGTGTTTGTAAGATGATCTCCAGGCTTGATTTCCTTTGGATGCATGTGGCAATTCTGCTGCTGAGCAAGGCAGTCAATTGCATAATTTCCCATAAGGCCTCATCTTTATTGCAATATTAGTCTTTGTGATGCCACTCTGCCCACCACGTCACCTTCCAGGCCTTATTACAAGCAATGGCATGCAGGTGCTAAATCAGCCACCAGGGGGCTCCCATGGAGCTCAATGAAGTCCTGATTCACCTAGAGAGCCCCAAGGCTTTATGTAACAAAGAGATGTGAAGCCTGGGATGAAAGGATAGATCTCACACTCTGGCCAAATTCTGTAGCCAGTATAGGGCAGCTTTCAGGGAGGTGGCAAGTCCCACATTAGTCGCTCCTGATTCGCCGAGCCAGGCTGAAAGGAATCCCAGGATCATAGAATATTAGGGCTGGAAGTAAGGTTGCCAAGTCCCTGGGTCTTTGCCCAGCTTGGCTGGTATTTGCATCACAGACGCCAGTTTCAGCTAATTGATATGTCACGCTATAGCTTATTTTGTTTTCATTTGCCTTTTTAAAACTGTGGCCAAAAGACACGCTAATGATCATCTAACCCAACCCCTTCGTTTAACAGAGGAGGAAAATGAGGCCTCATCCTCACCCCCCCCTCACCCATATCCAACCTGTTCCCAAGACCTGTCAGTTTTACCTTCTTAACATTTCTCCCATATGCCCCTTCTCTGCTCCGACAATGCTCCCTGTCTGGTGCAGGCTCTGGTCACCTTACACCTGCTGGTGGGTGTGCCTGTCTCAGGTGTCTCTCATTCCAGATCACCATTCCTTCAGTAGCTAAAGTGATCTTTTTGTTGTTCCTGTTTTGTTTTGTTTTTTAGGCAATTGGGGTTAAGTGACTTGCCCAGGGTCACACAGCTAGTAAGTGTTGAGTGTTTGGTCTGAGGCCGGATTTAAACTCAGGTCCCCCTGACGTAAGGGCCGGTGCTCAATCTACTGCACCACCTAGCTGCCCCCTAAAGTGATCTTCTTAAAGGGCAAGTTTGACCATGTCACTCCTCTACTCAGTAAACTCCAGTGGCTCCCTGTTGCCTACAGGATCAAATATAAAATGCTCTGTTTGGCATTCAATTCATAACCTATTCCCCTCCTACCTTTCCAGTCTTCTTATACCTCACCTCTCTCTTCCTCTTTCTCTGCCCTTGATCTTTAAGGGCTATGGAAACAGTTCCACCCTTTTTGGATCTTTCAGCCTTGGTATTCTTTTCTTCTGTTTTTCTCTCTTGGTTTTCCTGGAGGTGGGGGGGAGGGGATGTAAGAGGATGGGGGACAGGTGGTGGAGATTTCTCTTCTTTCTCCCTCTAGCAGCAAGGTTAGCTTAAAAAAGAAGCACATGGCAGCTGGAAACATGTTCTTACCTAGGTGAGTGTAAAATTGGTCTTTAATCCTCCAGTTGACTTCTTCCTTTCTTTTTCTGAGTATAGGTAGGTTGCTAGAAAGCCAGAGAAATGGATATATTTCCAGTGTTAGTGTTTATCCTGAGTTTGAAAGTCCCTGAATCCAGGGCTCGTCACCCAGGAAAGAAATTATTTTTTCCTTAACAGCATGCTTCATGGAAGAGAGAAGAATATCACTGCTAGGATTATCTTGCATCTGAAGAACAAAAGTCCTGGCTGTGTAAGGGATATGAACCTTGCCAACCCTCTGTGATTATTGCTTTGAATTCCTTGGGCAGTGTGAGTCTGAGATGAATGCAGAATACCTGTTCTTCAGCACCGCAAAGGAATTTACCTTTCAGGGAACTATACTGAGTGAAATTAGCCAATGGAGTATTTTATGCTTTCTATATTTGTTCATGTATGCCTCTTGTGTCCTATGTAAACACCAATGTTAAGGAAATAAACATCTATCCTATCCCTGTCACCCATATTATACACTGAATACTTTTTTGGGAGGGCATCCTGTTTTCCACTTTTGGAGAAACTCCATATATGAACCATACCTAAACTTTGCCTTAGAGATTTCCCTGGAGTTTTAATCCAGAGTTGGGGCAGTGCCATAGAGAGAAACAGGACCACTCTGAAGTCAGACTCAACAGGATTGAACCACATACCCTGAAGGGGATATTCTGGGCTTTGGAATATATGCATAAGAAAATATAATACATGGAATTATGGGTCATGCTTTTCTCAGTGGAAGGTGAAATGATAGGTAATGTTATTTCATTATACAAAACATTAAATTTACCCTGTTTTGACAGTTTCAGATGATCTTTATTGTACATGCATTAAATAAAATATATAGGATTACAAAGAAAACTAATTATGTTGAAATAGTTATCAAAAATTTTTTTTAAATCCATAGACTCCAGATTAAGAACCCCTGTTTTAAATAATGAATCCCCACTTTTACAATAACTAATTCATACACAATTTTTCAGGAACACAACTACTATATAAGGCAAGCTATACATGTGTTGGTCAATCCCATCCTCATGGTGTGAGGATCATCCATTCTGATGACTGGTGAACACTGCCCCAAGAAGATATTGCTTCAATTCTTGAAAGGGCTTCTCAATGAACATAGTCAGGACCAGTCCAATGGTAAATGTCAAAAAGCAGTGTCCAGAGAAAAGGTAGAACTAAGGAAAGGAAGGAAAGGAAATCAGAGTGGATATGATTGTTCTCTAGGGAAAAAAAAATTGACTCATCTTTTTTTTTTTTACTCAGTAAATATGCAATTGCAAGCAGGGCTTCAATATAAACACATGTTTATGCGTGCATATAGACATAAATGTATATAAACATATGCATTGGAGCAGAGCCATTCACACCCTTGCCTAGGATTCCCTTTAATCTTCATAACACACTTCTCTCTGATGGAAACTGTATCCCCCACACCCATCCCTCTTCCCCCAGAGATCTAAGCTTGCTATAAGACAAGTTGCAGATTTGTGTGAGAATTTGCCATACTGATGAAATCATAGGTCTAGACCAAATAATGATGATGAGAATAGTAGAATGACCACTGTCAGTTATATTGATTCAAACTTTGATGTCAATATTTTTAAACCCAAAGGACAATGACAAATAAAATGCTTTGTAGTAATAGTATAAAATGCGGTCAGCTAGATAGCACTCTGGATAAAGCATCAGGCCTCCAGTCAGGAAGGCCTGAGTTCAAATCCAGCCTCAGATACTTACTAGCTATGTGACCCTTGGCAAGTCACTTCACCCTGTTTTGCCTCAGTTTCCTCATCTGTAAAATGAGCTAAGGAAAGAAATGGCAAACTGCTCCAATATCTTAGCCAAGGAAACCCCAAATGAAATCATGAAGAGTCAGACACAACTAAAACAATTCAACAACAACAACAAATAGTCTGAAGTGCTATTTATCTATGTTTCCATTTAGATCTTGATCAGTTCCTCCCCTCTCTAAATTCTATAGTCACAGGATTTGCCACTGTGACTGCATCAACTAGCTCTGCTGACCAGTTGGCCCCCAAACCCTCGTTACACTAAGAAAAATTATAGGGATGTCATGCTATGCCAAAACACTTCTTCTACCCTCTTTCAAAGAAAACCAAGAACAATTAGGCTCAAAGAAAACGGCTTTTTATCGCCTCCTTTTCCCAATGAAAGAACAGATTGTAAGTGTCACAAAGAGCCAACAGGAGAACTTACCATGTTGGTGTCAGTGTAGTGAATAAGAGTTTCCTGAAGGCCATTGTAGAGTATGATCAGCATCGGATGTACCAAGAAGCAAGCGTAACTAATGTTGGCAAGTAAATTCCAAATGTCACAAGAAAGCACTTGATTCACCAGACCTGTGAAAACACAGTTTTTGACTCACTGTGGTAGTAAACACTTTCTTTTTTTCATTTTTGCTTCCTCTGGCTTAGAAGTCAAAATCTGGGAAAATTATTCTAAGGAAGCATCTACTTATTTGGATTTAAAAGGGTTTAACACCATTATCAAAACACGAAGGAACAGCTTCTTTTCACTACTAGTGGGCCTAGAGAGGTTAAGTAATCGGTTTGCACCCACATCCCCTGACTCCAAATTAACACTTCCCACCATGCCATGCTGCCCTCTTTTACCAGTCTTCCTAGCCTTTGAAACTAGGCCATGACATGGACATATCATTCATTTCCTTATTAACCACTATGGTTACTAGAACACCACTGGCCATACTTCTTAAACAGACTGTGTCTTTTTTCAGAACTCACATTTGTAAAAAGAAAAAAAAAGATTTAAACAAAACATTATACAGTTCTAAAAACAGAGCCATAAACATGGAAATATGTTTTGCATGATTGCACATGTATAATCTATATTGAATTGTTGGCCTTCTCAAGGAGGGGGAGGGAGGGAGAAAATTTAGAACTCAAAATTTTTAAAGAAATGTTTAAAATTGTTTTTACATGTGACTGGAAAAATATAACAATTTTCATATTTAAAAAAAAAAACAGAGCCATACAGTGGCTTAGCTACAGTAAAATTTTACAATTTTTCATCACTGAGCCAACATCATTCAGTGACTGGTTACTTCACCGATTAAAAAGTCCTTTATGGTCATCTTGTGTTTTTCCTTTTTCCTATTTTTTTTTTACATTAGTCACCTTCCAAGAAACAAGACAAATGACTCAAAAATACACGTCCTGTGCTATACTATACCTCCATGGCCTTCTTGACATGCAAAAATGATCCAACCCACAGCAATAGCCCACAGTGTTCGGTGAGTTGCCTGATAGATGGCAGCTGCCACTGAGTAAGTGTCGAAGGAGTCATCCACCATATATGCCAGAGAGACAACTGCTAAGAGGGTGAATAAGCAGCAAAGCCACCCGGCAAGAGCCTGTACCTGGGGGAGGAAAATATTATTTATAGCTTCTTTGGTACTGTCACTCTTTCTTTCTTCCTTCTATTTTTCCATATATCTCTTTATTCACTGCACTTGTTAAAGCTGTCTTTGTGGTATATTTTGCAAGCCCGTCTCAAGGCCAAAGTATGGCAAAGAGAGCATCTTGGATGTGTGTGAGGAAGGAAATTGTGGGGAGGGACATGGGATTTGTAATGTTCTGACTCCAGTCTATGTCACTAGCTCTAGGACATCCCAAGAACTTCCTTTCACTTCTACTGCTTGAACCCCAAGGTGTCAGGCCCTGGAAACATGTTGGGAAGTTGTCTGTTGCCTTCTCTGACTTTCTTCTTTCTGGTTATCTGCTCCAGATGATGGGCCAGAAAGGAAGAGGAGAAATCATAACAACTTTTAGAACTAAAATAGGTCTTAGGAATTATTTTATAATTCCTCTCCCGTTTTGTAGATGAAGAAACCGAATCTCAAAGAAGTGAAATGACTTGCCTGTAGTCACACAGCTAGGTAGGAGCAGAGCAAAGCTAAACCCTAGGGCTTCTGGTTTCCAGTCTTTGCATTGCCCTACACAGCCTCTCAAGGAAGGACTTACCTTGCTCTTGAGAATATCAGCCTGGTCATTGTGGTGCATGAAGATACTGAGTAACACACCCACAAGGAAAGGTCCGTATCTGCAGTAGGGCTTGGTGTAGTACTCCAGGAAATACAAGACAGCTTCATGTTCTCTGAAAAAATTTAAGGAAATTAGGGAGGTAGGTGGCTCCGTGGATAGAGCGCTTGCCCTGGAATCAGGAGGACCTGAATTCAAATCTAGCCTCAGACATTTACTAGCTGTGTGATCCTGGACAAGTCACTTGACCCTGATTGCCTCCCTCTACCACCACCAAAAAAAAAATGAGGAAATTAAGGTCAAAAGATTTAGGCAAGAGAGTTGAAAAGTAGCAGAAGCCCATAGATTCATGGGAACGGGGAACAGTGCAAGTCTGAGAAGCAATTTGATAAAGCAGGAAGATAACTGGCTCTAAGATCAAAGGGCATGGATAGGTTTGGATACCAGCTTTGCTACTGAGTGACTCCAGGCAAGTGATTTCATCTCCTTTTTTTTTTTTTGGTTGGGCAATGGGGGTTAAGTGACTTGCCCAGGGTCACACAGCTAGTAAGTGTTGTGTCTAATGTATTTGAACTCAGGTCCTGCTGAATCCAGGGCCAGCGCTCTATCCACTGCGCCACCGAGCTGTCCCCTATGCAAGTGACTTTATCTTGGTGAGTCTCATTTTTCTCAACTATAAAATGAAAGTGTTAGATTAAATGATTGCCAAGTCCCCTTCTAGCTGCCTTTAGGTTACACAGTGGATAGAGTGCTAGGCCTGGAGTTAGGACTCAGACACTAGCTGTGTGACCCTGGGCAAGTCACTTAACCTTTGTCTTCCTCAGGTTCCTCAACTGCAAATGGGGATGATGATTAAACCTACCCCTCAGGGTTGTTGTGAGGATCAAATGAGATCATATTTGTAAAATGCTTAGAGTGGCACCTGTTACATAGTAGGTGCTACATAAATGTTTATTTTCTTTCTTTTCCCTTCTAGCTCTAAAGCCTGTGAGCCTTAGAAAGAAGCACAGCTATCTTCAGAAACTAGAGAGAAGAGAAGACAGGAAAATATTAAGGTATGAAAGAGGGTTGAGGAAGCTTGAGTCACATGGCCTTGAGGTGAGATCACCTATTAGAGAAAGAGAGATTTTGAATTTGGACAATTAGGAAAAAAAAATATGTATATATATATATATATATATATATATATATATATATATGTATGTGTGTGTGTGTGTGTGTGTGTGTGTGTGTGTGTGTGTGTGTGTGTGTGTGTTTAAAAAGGCAGAGACTGTCTGGAAGCCAAAGAATGTCATAATGTCATAACTATGTCTATGCTCTGTAACTGCTTTTGGCTTTTATTCCAGAGCTGCTGACCCATTAAGAAAAGCACCAAGACTTGTTCTTTTGTCTTTATCTATGTGAACTCCACATCAGCAACCATCTCCCCATGCTGTCCCTCGCATTTCTATAAGTAAGAGACACACATACTTCATATCTGAATCCTCGGCAAATATAGAAGTGGCCAAGGGAACAGCTAAAACCATTCCCGTAATTGTTGCTGAGTTCCCACACACTTTGGAAAGGCTCCATGGAGCAGCTGAGGGTAGAGCAGTTTTGAAGGAAGAAAGGGCCTTGGTATGGTATGGATGGAAGTTCCACTGGGTGGGAGAAATCAGAAGGAATGGAGGGGAAGGCTTGGAAGAGGCAATGAATGGGTCCTGAGCAGAGAGACTGGCTGGAACAAGAAAAACAAAGCTGGGAAATACAAGCATACCTCATTTTATTGCATTTCGCTTTATTGTACTTCACAGCTATTGTATTTTTTACAAATTGAAGGTTTATGGCAACCTTGCATTGAGCAAGTCTATTGGTGCCATTTTCCCAACAGCATGTGCTCATATTGTGTCTCTGTGTCACATTTTGGTTTTTCCTGCAATATTTCAAACATTTTCATTTTTATTAAATTTGCTATGGTGATTTGTGATCAGTGACCTCTGATGTTACTATTCTATATATAAGACAGTGTACTTAATCAGTAAACGCTGTGTGTATTCTGATTACCCCACAACCAGCCATCCCAAATCTCTCTTCCTCTCCTCAGGCCCCCCCTGCTCCCTGAGACACAATGATATTGAAATTAGGCCAAGTAGTAGCCCTACAATGGCCTCTAAGTGTTCAAGTAAGAAGAGTCATTCCATATGGCAAACTCTGTTGTTGTTTTAGTTTAAGAAATTGCCACAGCCACCCCAACCTTCAGCACCCCCACCATGACCAGTCAGCAGTCATCAACATCAAGGCAAGACCCTTCACCAACAAAAAGATTACGACTTACTGAAGGCTCATGATGGTTAGCATTTCTTTTAGCAATTAATCATTTTTTTATTTAAGGTTATGTGCCCTGTTTTATTACACGTAATACTACTGCAGACTTAATAGCCTATGGTATGGTGCGAACATAACTTTTATATGCACTGGGAAACAAAAAAAAATTGCGCAACTTGCTTTTTTGCAATATTCGCTTTATTGCAGTGGTCTGGAAACAAATCTGCAATATCTCTAAGGTATGCCTGTGTAGATTTAGGAAATGAGGGCTAGGTAGGGGGGTTAACTAGTGAAGGGCCTGGAAATTCAGAATAAAGAGTTTTATTGGGTTCAAGGGATAATTGGGAGCTGTATTTTTCTTTTATATTGTCACCCTTTGTGAAAAGAATTTTAAGAGTGAGAACAGTCCATGTTTCCCTTGTATGTAAGTATAGAATTCCAGATGAAATCTTAATGGCTTAGTAGTTTAAGGTGAAAAATATATTTAAAATTCCAACTTGGATGAACATTTACCTCAAATATACTAATAAGAATAGGGAATAGATTGTGACTTTATTGGTAGAAACAACTGGCTGGTGAAGAAATTCCCTTTACTAATAAAACTCTGCACCTTCTCAGAAGCCTCGGTGGGTCAAACTCCAATACATGTGTGTATGTATGTGTGTGTGTATGTATATATGTGTGCATGTGTGTATATATGTGTATATATAGACACGTGTGTGTGCGCACATAAATACATATACGTGAGCATACAGACATATAGTGTTTTGAGGTTTACAAAGTGCTTTCCTCAGGATACACCAGTGAAGTAGATAGTGTGAGAATGCTAAAATGTGATAGCAGTAGTGATAGTGATAGAGAGTGAAATGGTGATACTAGTAACATCTACTACGTTAAATCATTGTGAAGATCAAATGAGCTAATGTATTAAAAAACCTTGTAAACGTTACATTCTTTTGTAAATTTTGATTATAGGCAGGGTTGTTGTTCAGCCCTCTGACTCTTCTTGACCCTGTGGACCATACTGTCCATGGCGTTTTCTTGGAAAAGATACTGGAGTGGTTTGCCATTTCCCTCTCCAGCAGATTAAGGCAAATGGAGGCTAAGTGACTTGCCCAGGGTCATACAGCTAGCAAGTGTCTGCAGCTGGATTTGAACTCGGGTCTTCCTGACTGCAGGCCCAAACTATTGAGACATCTAGGTGCCCCATAAGTAGGGCACACATTGCCAAATCTTCTTATCATCTCTTTCTAGTGCCCTGACAGGGGGGCCAAGAGCAGGATTAATCGAGCCATCATTAAGCATTTATTTACCACCTACTACGTGTCAGATACTATGCCAGATGTTGGGGACCCAGACACAAAAATGAAGCAGTCCCTGCCCTCAGTGAGCTTACATTCTATCGGTGGAATCTACAGTTACACATGTAAAGAAATGAAAGATATATACAAATAAATGCAAGGTGATTGGGGTAGGAGAGAGGCACTAGAAGCAGGAGGCAGAGGAAAAAGAGGAAAAGCCTCATGTGGAAGATGGCATTTGTGTTGAACTCTGAAGGAAACTAGGGAAGCTAAACGGTAGAGGCAAAGAGGGAATGAATGCTCTTCCAGGCACAGGGAAGAGCTTTCATAAATGCACAGAGATAGAGACTACGAGTTACGTGTGAGGAACAGCAAGAAGGTTAGTTTGACTGGACGGTAGAGGCCAAAAGAAGGGGATGTGGAGATCATCACTTACCTTGCTTCTGATGGGGATGCCACAGGAAGTTTCCAAGCCAGTGAGAGCTGAGCAGTGATGGTGAAGGATGTCAGGAAGAGTACAGTTCCCAGGAATGTCAGAGCACATTTACCTCTGGGGAGAGAAAAGGGACCACTCTGAAAGGTGGACCCTCCAGCTTCCCGAGGCTACAAAGCTTCAACCTGAAAGGCTGGGAGAGGAGCAGCAGCCTGAGGGTAGTTGCCTAAGTAGGCAATCAGAAGATATTCTAAGCACAGAGATCTCTAGGTAGAGCCCTTTCTGGAGGTCCCCAGTTGACTCACAGTTGCCATGGTTCTGAGACGGACCAAAGCATCATGCTGTCACTCACGGGCATGTAGACACACTTTCTGTCTTCCCCTAGGCCTTCGGAGCAGTGAGTGAGAAGAGCATCCCATTTCTACATTTTTTTCTACATTTTTCTACATTCTAACATTTTTTACCAGTGTTTTCTGGTAAATATTTTGTTTGCTTGTTTGGTAGGGGGAAAATATGCCAGGGCATTCCCCAACTCCAACCTCTGCCTCTCCTCAACTCTGACTGGACTGCAGGCATCCCAGCACTAAGAAGTGTCCAAACTTTAGTCAGTGAAGAAAAATACTCCAGAGCCTAGTCCAGGATTCTGTCAAAGGGCCACACTTGAGGACCTAGAGGGCCACGTGTGGCTTTGAGGATGCAGGGTCCCCACCCTTGCTGTAGTCCTTTACTACGCCTCTTCATTTGGGAAACTCAGGATGTATCTACAGGTGGGGAGGGAAGAGGGCATTTCCAGGTCTGAGCTTGGGGCCTGGATTTGTTGCCTTCTGTAACGACTTCCTACAAATCTGCTGAACATGACCTAGGGACTCCAAATGGGTACATGGCCCACTGGTTATCATGGTTATGACCATTAGTCCCTGTTCCCAAACTAAGAATTCAGTCTCTCCATCCTCCCAGAACGTTTTGAACTTTTCTGTTAGACTATCCAAAAGATATCAAATTCAATTCAATTCAATAAGCATTTATGAAGAGTTGATTATATGTCAGGCACCATGCCAGGACTAGGGCAGCCAGATGGTGCAGTGGATAGAGCACCAGAGTCAATCAGGAGGACCTGAGTTCAAATCCAGCCTTAGACACTTAATAGCTGTGTTTGCCTCAGTTCCTCGTCTATAATACAAATTGGAGAAGGAAATGGCAAAGCACTCCAGCATTTTTGCCAACAAAACCCCAAAAAGGAGTCATGGAGAGTCGGACACAACTGAAATGACTCAATGACAATGATGACAAAGATAAAAATAAAAATAGTTCCTGTCTTCAATGAGCAGGGAATGCTGAGGGAAGAGAAAAGAGAACATGTACCCTGCAAATAAAACTATGTAGGGAAGAAATGCAAAGGAATCTGAGGTTTGAAAATCACTAACAGTTGGGGGAACTGAGGCTTCAGGGGAGGGAAGTGTTCTGAGAAGCGCAAAGGCATGGGAGTGGGAGGTGGACGGCATGTCCTGCGCAGAGAACAGCAAGTTAGGCGATGGGCTGCAATACAGGAGGGTCAAAGGCGATCAACTTGGAAACAGAGTCAGGAGCCAGATTGTGAAGGGCTTTAAATGCCAAACAGAGAGTTTGCATTTTATCCTACGGACAATAGGGATCCACCACAGCACCTTAAGCAAAGAAGAGTGCCACAGTTAGGTCTATGCTTTGAGACCATTCATTTGGCAGCTCTGTGGAGAGAGGCTTTGAGAAGAGGGAGGCTGGATGCAAGGAGTCCAATGAGAAGGCTACTGTGGTAGTCCGGGAGGGAGGTGATTGGGGTCTGAACTGGGCTGATACAAATTACTACAGTTGAACTTCATGAAATTCCCCTGGAATGCTGGACTGAGCTCCTGGTCTCTGTTCTTAAAGATAGACAAGCTCTTCCTTGTCCACATGAATTGAGGCAAATGGTGGCACTGATAATTTGGAGGCACTGAGCAATCCAAAAGTGGTACGTATGTATGTACATGTATGTATGTATGCATATGTGTATGCATGGGTGTATATATATGCATGCATACATTTGGTATGGGAATGTATTATTTGCTGGGGGAGGGAAGTAGAGTTTCAGATTATCTTTTGTTTACTAGGCTGTTGATAGCTTCATATTGAAATCAAAGTGTGTTCTTTTTTTCTGAATTTGCTGGGTGACTGGAGAAGGTGCCAAAGCAGACTGGGGGAGATCAAATAGATGAAAACTCTAACACAGATAATGCACAAATTGCAAATCCACCCATAGGGGCAGCTAGGTGGTGCAGTGGATAGAGCACCGGCCCTGGAGTCAGGAGAACCTGAGTTCAAATCTGGTCTCAGACATATAACATTCACCAGCTGTGTGACTCTAGACAAGTTACTTAACCCCAATTGCCTCACACAAAACAAATCCACCCATAAGTAATGAAACCCTTAAAACTTTGCTGAAACAAAATAAATAGAAGTGATTAAAAACTAGTGTTGGCAGGGTTCCATGGCAAAACAACGCATACATTGCAGGCTGGCATTTTCAATTGGTCCAGTGTTGCTGGTGAATAGTCTTGGGTGCTATGTATGTAGCAAGAGTTACAAAGCTGTTCATGCCCTTTGACCTGGTAATCCCATCCCTGGAAATATACTGAAGGAAATCACCCCAAAGGGCGGGAAAATAATCTGTGCAAAGTTATTCCTAGCAGACCTGTGTATGGCAGCCAAAAAACAAACAAAAAAACCCCTGGAAACATCCTGCATGCACTATAGTAAGGGAAATAGCTTATAAACTACGAGTTATTAAGATGCTGAAATATATAGGGATTTTAAAAGACTATCAGTATGTAAAAATGTACTTATGTGATAATATTTAATGAAAGCCATAGCATAAGCTAACATGCATACAATGACAGCAGCTGTAGAAAAACCTAGTAGAATGTAAGGTCCTTGAAGGCAACAACTTTTTTTTTAATCCCCAGCATTAGTACAATGCCTTGCACACAGTAGAATGTTTTCGTTTTTGGTTTTTTTGGTGAGGCAATTGGGGTTAAGTGACTTGCCCAGGGTCACACAGCTAGTGTCAAGTGTCTGAAGCTGGATTGAACGCAGGGCCACCTGACTCCAAAGCCAGAGCTCTATGCACTGCGCCACCTAGCTGCCCCTAGAAGAATGCTTTTTAGAGGTAGCTAGGTGATATAGTGTGCAGAGCACTCCAGGCCTGAGTCAGGAAAACCTAAGTTCAAATACAGCTTCAGATACTTGCTAGCTGTGTGACTCTGGGCCTCAGTTTTCTCATCTTTAAAAGAAAGGGATCGGACCATTTATCCCATTAGGCTAATTCCAACTGAATCTCTGATTCAACGGGACAGAAATGAGAAGGAAACTTTGAGGAATGTCACTAGGTTAGCATGTGTTATTCATTTTCTGTTTGTTTTTCATAGAAAGTACTTGAGTTGTTGTCCAGTCATGTCTGACTCTTTGTGACCCACTTTGGGGTTTTCTTGGCAAGGATACTAACTAGAGTGATTTGTCATTTCCTTCTCCAGCTTTTACAGATGAGTAAATTGAGGCAAACAGGGTTAAGTGACTTGCCTGGTATCACACGGCTAGTAAGTGCCTGAAGCCAGAACTGACCTCAGAAAGATGAGTCTTCCTGATTACAGGCCTGGCACTCTATCCACTGTGCCACCTAGCTGCCACTTGCTTAAGTATCTAACTAAAAAATCTTATTTCCTTTTACTAAGGCCCTGTGGAGAGGCGCCACCTTAGTAACAGCCCAGGCCCAAATGAAACTCACTTTCTATGGATGAAGATCACTAGAGGTGTCGTAAGATGGAACTGGAAATCATTAGCGAGATACCATGTCCAGCCATTGCACTGAAAACAGAGAGAAATAAAAAGTCACATCTTTCTCACACTTTCCAGCAAAAATAAACTTCCGGAAATCACAGCTTTTCCTGACTACTCTGGCCATGAGAAGGAGATGCTAAAGGGGAATATTTGGACAGCTGCAGAACACTTCTGTGGGCAAGCTGTTTCCAGTGGGGCTGAAAGGATGTTTGGGCAGCTGGGGGGGTCATTCTGTGGGCAATTTTTGCCCTCTGAGCAACTGGAGGGAATATGTATAGTTGTGTTCAGAGCTGCAAGCTGAGTGAGGTGACTGGGATTCTGCTACAGAGACATGACGGAGGAGGGACAATAAGCATGCTGTTTCCTCAAAGCAGTCTTTCAGCCCACTCTCCATGTACTTTTTGGTTTTCCTCTGGCCCAGGCCACTTGGCATAGCACTCTTTGTTCCCTTGCTTGATTAACCCTGGGCAGCCACCCTCCCACTTTCAGACTTCCATCACGATGGGGTCCCCCATTCTCTCAGCTGAGGCCAAATTTAGTCGCAGGGGAAAGAACAATCTCCCCTGGTAAGATAAATTATACATATATTTTATTTCATTTATTTAATTATTAATATTAATTACTATTATATCATTATAATTTATTATAATCAGTAATAATTAATAAATCTATTATTTAAGTGTATATGTGTGTGTATGTGTCTTAACTGTTTGGAAAATTGATACACATATTCCTAATACCTGGAGAATTTATATGGAGCTCTGATGGTGCGTATAGTCCTATTTCCAGTGTTTGATTAGAGAACTAAAAAACATGCTCTCTGGATTCATACTATGATGCCTTCAAGAGAGTGGACCTGGATGGTTCTTGGTTAGTCTGGCACCACCACCATCACCACCATCAGTCCCATCTAAATTTGTTTCAGATATAGGAATTTCTAATCATAGTTCTGGCCACTTAACAACTACTTAGCATCAGAAGATAGGAAGAATCCCATATTCAGCCTAAAATGCACAGGAAAAAGGAGTCACAAGAAAGGGAGAAGATAAGACATTCATTCATTCAACAAATTTTAATTAAACACTAACTACAAGCATGAATATCATCGAGGAGATCCTTTAATGTCCTGGGGTTTGTTGCAATCATCACAGTATCATCTACTCTCAGGAGCATCCTCTACATCTATAGGGATTCCCTTTTCCATTTGGACATTACACAAGACATTTTCCATGACATAGGAAACACCTTTGTTGAGTATTCTTTGTTCTGTTTTGTGCCGCATTTGGCATTAAGAAGATCACTAAGCAGAGGAATCGGAGATTGTGATCATTACAATTCATTTGTTACCTACTGGTATCCTTATAGCTAGCAAATTCCCACTATCTCTTACTCTCTTTATCCTTTGATTAATTAATCATCTCCTACATAAGAGTAAATCAAGTCTCAGCTCATTACAATTACAATCTCACACCCATGTTCCATTCCAACTCTGTGTACTTCTCCCATTGTGCCCTCTGAAATTCCCATTCCATAATGAACAAACTTCCCTTCATTCTGGATCTCTTTCTTTCCAGCTCCTTCCTCCTTCTGGAGCTCATAGGGACCTAGCTTCTTCTGGATGACACTGCCTCCCTGGACATCCTACATCTGTTCTTGATACCATTCTCTTCAGTCTTTGCCATCAAACTGCCCCCTCAATCATCCCCTTCCTTCCTCTAATCTTCAGTCTCTCTCTGTCTACTTCTTTCTTTCTCAGCATCTTCAAGCATCCTCAAGTGTCTTGGAACTTTATAAAAATTTCCCTAGACCCTACTATCCTCTTAAGCTTTTATTCTATATTTTTTCCTCCTCTTCTCAGCCACATTGCTAGAAAAACAAACTGTTTGCAATCACCATTTCCACTTCTTCTTCTCTCCCAGTCACTCCTCACCCCCTTTGCAATCTGGCTTCCAAACACACCACTCAAGTAAAACTACTTCTCCAAAGTTTCCAACAATCTCTTAATTGTCAGACTCCGTGGTCTTTTCTTATGCCTCTTCCTTCTTGACTTCTGTTGCATATGACAGTATTGATCACTCTTCTCCCTTTCTTCTCTCTGGGCTTTAATAACACACTACTCTCTCCTAGTTCCCTTCCTATCTGCTGTACATGATGACCCCTTCTCAGTTTCTTTTGCTGGATCAGCATCCATATCAAACTCCCTAAATGTGGGTATTCTTCCAATGCTCCATCCTTGGCCTTCCTTCTCTTTCTGTATTTTCTCTCCTGGTAACCTTATCATCTCCTGTGAGTTTAATTTGTCATCTCTAAGCAAAGACTCACAGATATCTACATCCAACCTCAAACTCTTTACTGAGTTTCACTTCTGAATGACCAGCTGCTTCTTGGACATTTCAAACCAGATATCCCAGAGAAACCTCAAACTCAACATGTACAAACAGAACTTGTTACCTTTCCTCTACAGCCCACCTATCTTCCTATTTCTCTTAAGGTGGACCCCATTTTTCTAGTCTCCTAAGTTTATAACCTTGATTCCCCACACAGTTACACCACACATTCAGTTGGTTGGCATATTTTGCTATTTCTACCTTGAAAATATCTCTTGTATCTGATGCCTTTTCTCTGCTTACACCACCACCTTATTTTAGGCCCTCTTCAGCTTTCATCTAAACTAAGTAATGATATATTTTCTTAATTGCTCTCCTTATCTCAAGCCTTTTGTTACTCTTTTTACTCCAATCCATCTTCCACCCAGTTGCAAAAGTGATTTATCTTAAGTGCAGATCTGAGCATTTCACTCCCCTACTCAAAATATGTAAGTGACCTCCTCTTGCCTCTAAGATAAGGCTGTTTGATTTTAAATCCCTTCACAACCCAACCCCAATTTATCTTTCCAGACTGATTACACATTACTTCCTTTTCCCCTTACTCTATAATCCAGGCAAACACTTTCACTGTAACTCATGCATGGTACTTCATCTTCTATTTTTGAGCCTCTGCACAGGCTCAAAATGGGTTATCCCCCATACACAGAAAGAACTTATTCCTCACCTCCAATGAAGTATATAATAAAAATCTAAAAACTTTCTAAGTTAATTTATATTTTGGTGCCATATAAACTACCAAAGTATTATATTATGGAGCTAAAAAAAATAAAATTCATCTGGAGGTACATAGGTCAAGGCTCTCAAGGGGAAATGATGAAAAAAGTAGCAAGGATAGGGGTCTAGCAATACCAGTCTCAAACTATTAGAGGCAGCAGTCATTAAAACTATTTGGTAATGGCTAAAAAATAGAAAAGTTGGGGCAGCTAGGGGGCATAGTGGATAGGGCACTGGCCCTGGAGTCAGGAGGACCTGAGTTCAAATCTAGCCTCAGACACATAACACTCCTTAGCTGTGTGACTCTGGGCAAGTCACTTAACCCAATTACCTCACCTAAATAAATAAACAGACAAACAAACAAATAAATAATAGAAAAGGTGATCAATGGAACAGATTAGGGACACAATAGAGAAAAGCCAACAAAACAGTGGCATGATGTTTGATAAACCCAAAGAATACAACTATTGAGACAATGACTCACTATTCAACAAAAACTGCTGAGAAAATTGGAAATGAGTCTGGCAGAAATTTAAACCACCTTCTCATACTATATGTCAAGATAAGCTCAAGACATGTACATAACTTAGATGTAAAAAAAAATCACACCATGAACAAATCAGAAGCAAGGAAGAAAATATCTGCCACATCTATGGACAGGGAAAGAGTTCAAAACAGGAAGGATAGAGAAAATCACAGAAGATAATAAAGTGGTACAAACAATATCAATGTAGTTAAAATAAGAAGGGAAACTATTAACTAGAGAAAAATATCTTTGCAACAAGTTTTTCTCATAGCAGTCTGATGTCCAAAAACTAATTCAGTTACATAACAAGAGCTGTTTCCTAATAGATAAATGATCAAAGAATATGTACAGGTAATTCTCAAAGGAATAAATCCAACCTATCAACAAGCTTATGAAAAAAGTGTTAACAATAATTAGAGAAATGCAAATTAAAACAACACAGGTTCTGCCTATGCCCCTCAGATTAGCAAAAATGATGATGATGATAACAATGATGACAATGACAATGATGACAACTATGGTCATTGTATTGATCAGAGTTTTTAAATCTTTATTTTTCTTTATAGTGTTATTGTTCTTGTATTATTTTCTAGGTTCTGCTAACTTCACTCTGCACCAGTTCAAGTTTTCCCAGGTTTCCCTGAAATTGTTTTTCCTCATTTCTTTTTAAAATTTTTATTTTCTTTTCTAAATTTTCTCCCTCCATCCATCCTTTTCCTACCCACTAAGAAAGTAAGAAATACAATACCCATTTTACATATTTTTCATCATTCCTTAAGGGGTAATAATATTTCATTATATTTATATGCCATAATTTCAGATATATACCCTATATACCATAATTCATTCAGACATTCCGCAATTGATTGCTATGATAAAAGGTGCGCTTTAAATACTTTTGTATATATGGATTCTTTTTCTCTTTCTTTGGTCTTTTTTGGGCTATAGGTCCAATAGTGATATATCTGGAGTACATTTTAGCAACTTTTAGGGAACAGTTCCAAATTCCTTTCCAGAGTGGCTGCACTAATTCATAGTTCCAGTAACAGTGTATTAATACAACATTTGTCCTACAATATTAAATTAAAAGTTAAATTAATATATAATGCATAATTAATTGCAAACTAAAGCTTTCTATAAATGTTATTACTATTGTTATTATTATATACAGTTATAAATGGCTCTGAGATATTGGCCTGCTCTATTTAGTTTTCTTCTGCCTAACTCACTTCTTACTCTGGTCCTTGATGTAGATTAAATTCTAGTTCAGAACCATGGAATCAGATAATCAGAGCTACCTTTTGCAGTCTTCCAGAAGCTGCTGCTTTAGCCATCACTATGGCATGCAAGACTTAGAGACCTACCCAGGGACTTTTCTACAACCTCCAAGGCAGTTTGTG